TGAATCTAGACATATTTTAGATTCAATAAACTTAGACATGATAGCTCAAGTTAGGTTATTTTTATGTGCGACCCTATAGGCTCGTATGAAGTTGGCAATAGGCTAATTACAATAGTAGCCCACAAATCACAAGTGGCCTCTAGTAAGATATCACAACTACCTAATTTATATGAGGATCGATGATTCGATGTAACTTATCACGTAACCATATCACATCCCTTTTGTCATGTGATATTTTGATCAAGTGTGAGACATGAAATTGTCATTTTCCTTTCTCTGACCATTACTTTCTCAATCTCTAAGTGGACTGACATAACAATGGAAAAATCCTTTTCATTATAGTATTACTCATCGAGGGACCTAATAATATCTCTCAATCAATGTGAGGGACAAATTCCATCTTGACCACTCATATTTCTTTGCATGAATATCACTAAACTCAATCATGGCCTTTATGATAACCCGATCAAAAGTGACTTTTGACTAGGTAAAAGTTTAGTGGTCATCATAAAGGAATCCATGATAATCTCAAATCAAAGGGTTTAGTGATATAATTACATATGAGATAAACTTATGACTTGTATCATGTAGCTTTCTTATAGCGAGTTGGTCCAACATCTTGTACTCTTTCAAAGGCCTATGACTTTGATTTATATCTCTATAATTAATCAAAGTCATACTAGTGTTGTTTCATCTATGATCCCTCATATAAGACCAACTAAGGACATTTAGGATAATCACTGTAGTTTGTCCAAAAATACAATTATCATAATGAACATGCATTTAGTATGATAACAAAAAAGAAATTCTATAAATAACAATATTTATAATACAATGATTGGCCCTAGAGCATAATTTCCAACAAAATGCATGTTTTAATTTGAATTATCGTGAACTGATATTGTATATCTAAATCAATGAGTTTAATATAAAAATTTCTAGTATACAAATAATATACCTATTAAGTCCAAGGCTCTGATGCATCCAAGCTTGTATGTCTCATCCTCTTAAACTCTTTTTGGATCATTGTTTTCTTCATCTTTATGTTCTTCAATTAATCTTGAGAGTAACATGCTAATGATAGCTTCAATTTCTTTCTTTTCATGCTTATTCTCATTTATACTTTGGATAACATTCAATAATACGTTATGAAAAATGTGGTTATTCTAAATATCAATATGCATGAAAATAAATATAAAAGTTATCATGTTATACATATGAAAAGTCTTGTATCCAAGTTATGAAAATAATACTTTGAACACTCTTGGATATACAATCATTTTAATATAAGGAATAGTAGGATTTAATAAAGTATATAATAACTTATATATACATAAATCATTTTTCAAAATCTCATATAGTATGAGCCTATGAGACAGTAAAAGTAAAATATTTGAGAGCACTTGTATCATCTTGGATTAGCCAATTTCAGTCCCTATAATATTCAAAAGACCCTTATTATGAAATCTCTCAAGACCCATCCATATTTTATTCATAAATCATATTAGTTTATATTTTATTATGAGAAAATTACATACAAATCCTAAATAAAAAAATTAATTTCACACAAGTTACAACCATTTGTAATTTATAAATACACAGATTAGACATGTAAATATTATGTTTAACATGTAAATAAGACTAAGAAAAATAATTAATTTTCTTATTTGAGAATTGAGACCTATTTATAAATTATAATACCCCCCTTAAATCAGAAAATGATTGTGTCCATAGTGAATATGAATATGTTGATGTGGATTGGGTAAGATTCAAATATGGTTGAAATTCTGGTAAAAAAAATATGATTGAAATTTAAGAATTTTACGTGGTTTAATTATTTATATTCTATTGTTAAATTTCAAAGACCTATCGAATCACTTTGGACAAAATAATTTATTTTTGATATTTTTGCTATAGATATGGAAAAGATGAACATGGAGTTGTATGCATTGTTTTTGAAATTTTGCGACGTGTCAAATGAACTGGCTCGCACAATAAGTTTGATTCTAATATCCAACTAATCTAAGATGATTAAATCAGCCAAATTCATAAACCTTTCATGAATAGCCTTTTAACTTTTTTAGCCTATGAGTCTTATGTAAAATAGTTACTCCCTCATGTTCTTAATATAAGAACTATTAGAGAGGCTTATTTGAGGACCTATTTGATTGTGTTCTCATTTTTTTAAATATCATTTTATAATGCAGTTTTTAGAATTGTCTACCAAAATAAAATAAAAATAAAATCTATTTGATTGTATTAATTTGAAAATAGTTTGAGTTTAAAAAATCGGTTGATATAGTTAATAATGGTAACTTATAATAATCATTGGTTATAATTGATTATAAGTTTCAATAATCAAATATAATATATTTTTAAAAATAAAAAATAAAGTGAAATTTTTTTTAAATATTTATATTTTAACAAAAATGAAACACAGTTTTAAAAATATTTAAATCAAAACACTCACTCAAATGAGTTTTTTCTTTTTTTTAATAAAAAATTTTAAAATCAGAACAAGCAGACCTTATCACTCAATTTATTTTATCTTCTAAAATGATAATTTTTTCAAAAGATCATTATTAATTGCTTATATTAAAGTCAAGTTTTTATTAAAGTTAAAATATATAAAACTCTATTAAATTTTAAGACAATTGTGTTTATTTAAAACACTTACCACTTTTAAAAATTTAAAATTAACTCTAACCTTTAATTTTTTTATTAAAGACTCCCTTGTATTGTTGCCCGTTACTGACAAAGTTGGCGTGTTATATTCTTTCACAGAGAGAGAGAGAGAGAGAGAGGGGGGGGGGGAGGGTCGCACGATGCGACATCTCATATTAGTTAATAATAAGGGGAAAAAATATAGGTAAGATTTTCATACAGATATTATTATTATTAATTTACATTGAATGTTGCATCTAGTACTAAGTGTCATTTTTTAATGTGACATAATAACTTTACTAACAAAATAACTAAGAAATAATAATAAGAAAGTCTATGATAAAAAAAATATTAGATTAAGGAGGTTAATTTTAAATTTTTAAAAATTAAAAAATTCTGTACAACTACCTCAAAGCTCGAGAAAATTTATATATTTTAGTCTATCGTTAATAATATAGTTTCCGATATAAATTATTAAATGGGATCTGTAAAATAGATCAACAAATTTTTATAAAAAATTAACTTAATTAATTTTCTTCATATTTCTAAATTAGTTATTTAGTTCCTATTTTTTTATAGAAGTTATGTAATTCCTACATTTAGGTCGCTAATGAACATTATTTTAAATAATTTTTATTCAAGTAGAACTGAAATGAGAGGTTAGATTAAAAAAAAAAACCCAGCTAATTGATATGAAGTTTTCAAAAATAATAAATCATTTTGAAAACTAGTAAAAAAATCAAAATAAAAAAATAAATTGACTTACTGGCTAAAAAAATTTTATGCCCAAAAAATATGGATCAAATTCTTAAAAAATTGAGAATTTGGAAAGTTCACAATGATATATAAGGAGTCTAAAATTAAAATTTTAAAAATTTACAAGAAATTTATTATTAATATACAATAGTATGTCATTAACAAATATAGTAAACAACTATAATATAAAATATAATAAATATTGAGTTTTTTTTTAGTTTAATCTTATAATATATATATATATATATATAAAAGCCGCATCAAAAAATGGGCTACTAATTCAAGTAAAATATGTCGCAAGTTGAAATAAAGATATTGTCAAAACATTTATTTATTTTTATATCATTTCCTCTCAAATGCGTGAAACAATATTATTAGAATGTTACGTGCATCTGACACTCACTTATATACATTTTCACATTTTCTAAAAAAAAAGTGTGTTCTTTTGATGAATTTAATGTAATATATATATATATATATATGCGCCAAGAAACATGAGTCCAATTTTCAAAAGATACAGGGACATACATGGAAAGCACAAAAACCCACCAATTGACCTTTTTTTTGTTTTTAAAGAAAATCACAATTAAGAACCACACATATGTTGAAATTGAATCTCAAAACCTTTGTACTTTTTTTTTAATTTTGAGGATAATATTTTAATTAAGATGCTTGTGTGTAAATTCCAATCTTTTTCTCTAACAGCACCAAAGCAAATAAACATTAGAAAAGGCACTATCAATAAAAATTAGTTTAGTTCACAAAAAGTTGTTTCATAACTTATGAGATTATGGAATTAAAATTCTATTCTCAATGTGAGAACTTTATTTGTGAGCAATTTGTAAATACTTTGCAAGCGTCCTTTGAATCTAGAAACAAGTCTAATTTTGGTGAGCTTTCAAGTAAAGTAGGTAATTCGGATAAGTTATTCTTATTCAGATCGGGTTTAAAGCATCATACTATATAGAAAAAGCTCATATAATTAAGCCAAACTCTAATTCTTTGGGCTCATTCGAGTTGGCTTGAATACCTGAATTGTTAAATAATATTTTATTTTATTTTTTATTTTTACCTAATTTCAATTTTTTATTTTCAAAATTAATATTTTTAAATTTATATTATTTTATTAATAATAAAAAAAATTGGATATTTTAACTAAGTCCATTTAGGCTTGAGTTTGGCTCATATTTTTTCGGATTTATTTGAGTTGTCTGAATAAAGTAAGAGTAAACAATATCTTTTAAACTCCTAAATTCAATCTTAATAGTTTTTGGGCATATTGGAATTGACTTATAGAGCTGGTCTAAATGATCGCTTCTACTTTTAATATTCAATTCATATAATTTTTTGTAAAAATAAAACACTGATATTTAAATTTATTTTTAGAAGTTTTTGAGATTGTCACTCATTACCTCATGTTCCCATTTGTGCTGTTTCCTTTCTTGTATAGGTATTTTTTTTTCGCCCATTTTTTATGTCGTTTACCGTTCTTGCACTCATCTTGACCGTTATGTACCTCACCATTGACAATTCTCTCTCTCTCTCTCTCTCTCTCTCTCTCTCATATAAATATACTTTATCAACCAACCATTCCTTGCATCCATATCTCACTTTGCCTTCACCTTCTTCCACACTTCTGACGCCACCGTCGGAACCACCGTACCTCCAAAACTCCGGGCATGGATCTCCTTCTTTTCACTTTTTTGAGTAGCTAGTAACAAAAATCATCAGTACCAATTTTGTGTTCAGAAATCAATGGCCAACATTCCTTCTTCTCTTTCTGAGATTTGCCTCACTCAGTTTCGTCTTATCATGTCCATTGCAGATCCATGGCCTTTCTCTTAAGCTCTCAAGAAAATACTCTCTCTCTCTCCCCGTTCATCATTCTCCGTCAAACCAAAGTTATCTACTGTACTGTTTATTAATTTCTTCTTGAAGACTCTCAGAAAGAACGAGGCTGTTCAAAAAAATACATATGAGGAAGATTAGGGGATTCAAGCTTGGCCGACGCCTGATCCGAATCTCCAGATGGATCTTCCGGAGACCCCGATTCGGAGGATATCGGAGGTTGGGTTTGCATGATTCGCCGGCGACGAAGACCGTAGAGAAGATTATCAGCTGGGGGCGCAAGCTGACGAGAGGAGCCATATCCCTCTGCAACGTTAAGCCGGGGTCGGGATATATTCAGGTGGGATCCGACCCGGTACAGGACAAGCCTCCCGCAGTGCCGAAGGGTCACTTGGCGGTGTACGTCGGTCAGAAGGACGGTGAGTTTCACCGCGAGCTGGTGCCTGTGCTATACTTCAACCACCCCTTGTTCGGAGAGTTGCTGAGAGAGGCGGAGGAGGAATACGGGTACAACCATCCCGGCGGAATCACGATTCCGTGTCCATTCACCGAGTTTGAACGAGTCAAGACCCGAATAGCATCCAGGTCCGCTAGAGCCGGCCGGAGATTAGCGTGGAGATGATTCCACTGAAGGAACCTGCAGCGACGAACAAACACGAAGGCTCGTGTCTTAAATTTCATGTTACGAAAAGAGAAATCGACTGTAGAAGAGAAATCGAGATTAAGTGATTAATTTTAGTCTCAATGGCTCTCCATGTTTTGTGCAAAAAAAAAAGGACTCTCGACGTTGTTATTTTCCATTGCGTCAATAGAAGATTCATTTTTTTCATTTTAAATATATCAATCAATTTTAAAAAAATAGTTAACTATAATAATAATGTTTAAAAATAAAAAATTTGACTAAAATATTTCATGTCAATCAACATAAATAAATATTAATTATTTTTTGTTAATGTAAATTATAAAGAATAATTTAAAAAATTTATAATAAATTATTATTGAAATATGTGATTTCACTTGTAAAAAATAAATTAAAAGTGACAATTTATCTAACAGATGAATATGGAAAGAATAATTTATAAAATAAGTAAATACATCATAGCTACAAGCTCTTATTTTGGTGGATTTATGCCCTACGATCTTATATGTATAGTTGTTTGTTTTTTTTTTTTTTTACCAGCGTATAGTTGTCTGGGTTTGATAATTTAACATTTAATCCAGATTTGATTGATATTTATTTTAAAAAGGTTTTTATGTTATTGGTGTCTGGGGTAGTTTGGGTACTCTGGATGAAACAATCTTTGCACGAAGTATCATTATATTAATAGTAATAATAAATTCTCCTTTTTAAAAAATTTATATTTTGTGCACCAAAAGATATCATTATATTTAAATTTTTGTGAAGTCAAATAAATTTATACAGATTATGATAGGAACCCAAATAGAAAGATCTGTGAAGTACAGAGCACGAACTAGTTGAAAGGAATCATTGTTCTTAATTACTTATTATCAGGATAATTTTCGCTGGGAGTAGTACGGTGATGAACTTATTGTTATCATTTTTGGGGCACTTGTCTTCATTATAAAAATGCTAAAATTACATATAAATGTTATTTGGGGGGAAATTTTACCCACATCTTCTATTAAAATTCTACATATACCCTCCAAAAAGTTTCCTTTAATCCGTTGCCTCTCCCCTAATCCCTCCCCAAAAGATCTGGTTATTCCCATTTAGTTTTTTAAAAGTCTCAAACATGTGTGTTCAAAAATATAGACATTCATTATATTGATTATAAAAGTAAAATTTAAAATTATATTTTTCATAGAATATTTAAATTTATATTAGGTAAATATTTTGCATCCACCAATTATTTTTTTTTAATTTTTCATTATAAAACGTGATAAGCACCAATCTGAATTATCCAAATCAAATTTGAATAGTCTAGATTTGACAATAATTATTTTATATTTTTAAAGAATTATTTTATTAGTTACATGATTTAAAATAAAGATAATCTCTTAATTATTACTCTATTAAAAAATGAATTTATCAGTAAAGAATTTTAAATTTTGACTGTTTAAACTACATTTAAACAGTTTAATTAACGTCTACAATTTAAAAAATAAAATTTTATTAATAATATTTTTTAATATTAATTTTTTATATATTCTTTCTCTTTGATATTTTTAGACAAAGGGAGTATTAAACAAAGAGAATTTTTAAAATTGTATTTTTTATTTTAAAAGGTAAAATTATAAGGTGTATTTAATAAGTTTTATTTATTAGTATATGTAATTTTGTTTAAAAGTGTATTATAAATTAAGATTGAGGGAGTATAATTTATTAGTTATTATTGATTTTAGACTAAAATACACTTTTACTCTTTTAACTTTACGTAAAATTTTATTTTGATATCTTAATTTTATAAAGTGTTTATTCAGTTTTTTAATTTTAACACCATTAAGTTTCACCAATAAAAAGATTCCTACATTAAATTTTAAATAGTAACAAAGTATATTATCAAATGTTAATTTATTAAGTTTACTTTTTAAAATAATAATAGTTGGAACAAAAAACAATCATTTGAAGCTAATGTTGTTAAAGTCAAAGAATTGATATATTTTATAAAATTAAGATGTCAATTTGAAATCTTATGTAAAATAATGGATCAAAAGTATCTGACTATAAAAAAGAATCAAAAGCAGATTTTAACCATGAGTTTATCATGCAAAACATCATGTTAGGCTCACTTTAATAATTTGGTGGTGATAAGTCTATTGAGGGAGTTGATGGCCACAGGCGGCTGTATTGAATGGAAAAGTCGTGAATGTGGGATGCTGAAGACGATAACGATTTTGTCTTGGAAAAAAAAAAAAAAAGCTTGAATTCAGTTACTATATTTGATACAGATATTCTAAACCGTTGAAATCTAAATTAATAATTCTGAATTCATACTTCACATGAAAGATGAGTTTATCTAAATCTTTTATTTGAATTTCAATAACTTAAATGACTGAAGCATTTAGTATATGTATTAAGTACAGTTGTCGAATTAAAATTTCTAAAAATGTCTTATAAATTAAAATGAAAAGAGTCTGATTTATTAGTTATTATTCATTTTATAGTAAAACACCTTTAGTCTTTTAACCTTAATACCAATTAGTTTTTTCATAAACAAATTCCTACATTGAAATTTTAAATATTAATAAAATATTATCAAATGTCAATATATTAAGTTTAATTTTTTAAAATAATAATGAGTGACACAAAAAAAAATTATTTAAAACTAATAGTATTAGTGTCAAAGAACTAATATATTTTATAAATTAAGAGATCAATTTAAAATCTTATATAAAATCAAATGACCAAAAATAAATTGGGAAAATGACAATGAAATCCATTTGCAATCTATAAATGATAATTTAATCTCTTAAAATGTTATAATTCCTCTGAAGTTTTAAGAACTTTTCTGTTATTAATGAATTTATATAAATTATTAAATTTTTCTTATTGAAAATAAATGATTTACAACTTTCTTTCTTATATTAACAATAATGCAACAACAAATAAAAAATTTAACATACAAAGTTATAATTTTCTGTTCCATTATTATGAATATAAAAAAGTTGAAAATCATTTATTTTCAACAAAGGTAATTTAATAATTTATATAAATTTATTAATAACAAAAAAGTTTTTTAGGACTTCAGAAGAATTATGACATTTTAAAAAATTAAATTATTATTTACATATTTCATAAAAATTTTATTATGTTTTTTTAAATAAATTTTAGCCCAAAGTTTATTATGTAAAATATCATATTAGACTCACTTTAATAATTTGGTGGTGATAATTCCATTGACGAGGCTGATGGCCACAGGCGGCACGCGGCATTATTGAATGGAAAAGTCGTGAATGTGTGATGCTGAAGACGATAACGATTTAGTGATTTACGGTTAAAGGAAAAGGACGGCCAAAATGCGTTTCACAATTTAATTTGTTTGAAGCCTTTTCAGTTTCCCTTATTATTGGTTGGTTCTAAATTCTTGAGGCCAATAATAAATGCGCGGTATAAAAGTGTTTATACAAAATTAAAATAATGTAAATACAAGTAGATATTTTTTTTTCCTCACATTTTGTTCTGTAGCAATAATTTAATCTCAATCGATGTCAAGGATGATGATATTATCTTTTCCATTTAAAGTTGTAATCGTAATATCTAATTTAGTTTAATTTGACTTTTCTTTTATGCTTTTTTTATTTATTTATAATATTCGCGTGTTTGGATAATAGACGTTGGTTTTTTTTTTTTGGTTAAAAATAAAATATTACTCCAAGGGTCATGAAAACCAACAAACGAATTAACGAACATTCATGCAAACATGTAAACATAAACTTGATGGCCCAAAATAAATTTCATGAAAAACTTGATAACATGTGTTGTTAACTCAAAGGAAAAGGCTAAAGTGATAAACTAAACAAAAAAAACTGTATAAATGTAATCTATATCTATAATAACGTATATAAAAAGTATATTACCTAAAAAAAGTCAAATTATAATATTTAAAATTTAAAATATAATAACAACGATTCAACCAAAATTCTGAACAAGGTAAGAACAATTTTGTGTAAAGATTTGTACCTTTTAAAAATAAAATTGCGTCTATAATTTTAATAAATTTTAAAAAATAAATAACATTTATTCAAATAACTTTCAATCCTAAAAAAAATCCTAATTTTATGTTAACAAACATGAAAATACTAAAATTTACTAAAATCACACACACACACACACACACACACACACTCACTCTCTCTCTCTCTCTCTCTCTCTCTCTCTCTCTCTCTCTCTCTCTCTCAGTCCAAAAAAATATCATTTTTTAAGGGGTTAAATGTTTAAAAATATAAGATATTTTGAGTCTTTTAAGATGTAATTCTTATTATTTTTCAAAAGTGCTTCTATTGAATAGATTATTTTATATTTTTTAGGGAGAAATGGTTATTAAATAAGGACAAATATAAAAAGATAGGATTAGTTTAAAGATAAATAAATATTTTATTGAAAGTAAGATTTGATTAAAAATGTCTTATATCTTTAAACAGAGAGAGTATATATTTAAAAGAAGTGTATAATTAATTGAGTAAAAATACATTGACCTCCCTTCCATTTTGCCAAAATTACATAGACATTTTCTTTATTTTTAAAATCTACACTTTAGTCTGAATAGATTATTTTATATTTTTTAGGGTGAAATGGTTTATTAAATAAGCATAAATATAAAAGATAGGATTAGTTTAAAGATAAAGAACTATTTTATTAAAAGTAAGATTTGATTAAAAATACCTTATATTTTTAAATGGAGGAGAGTATATATTTAAAAGAAGTGTATAATTAATTGAGTAAAATACATTTACTTCCCTTCCATTTTGCCAAAATTTCATAGACGTTTCCTTTATTTTTAAAATCTACACTTTAGTCTGATCTTTAACATTGTTAGGAATATTCCATTAAAGATTATAAAATACTTAATATTTTATTTGTCATTATGTTAAAAAATATTAAAATTATTAATTTACCCTTTAATTCTAATTGTCTACTCCCTCAAAATTTTAAAAAACTTTAAATAATTAAGCATGTCAATATTTAAATAAATAATTTAAAATTTTTGTGATGAAATTAATGAAATTTTTAAAAATATAAATTATATTGAATAATTTATTATATTTAATTTTTATTTCATAAATTTTTTAACTTCATGTTTGAATATTATTTTAACTAATTTATGTATTTAATTTTTTAAAAAATTACTAAATAAATACATTTACATA